TTTATTGCATTTAACTTGTTAAAGCATTTCGTTAAAAATTGTTTAAAATTTTTTGTTAACAAAAACTAAACTTTACTACCTATTACATAAAAATTTTGTTGCACAAAATTTTTATTTATTTTTATTATGTTATTTTCATTATTTTTTATATATATTTTTTTTGTTATTATATAATTATTGTAGTTATATAAGTATAGAAACTTTTTTTTGTACTTTTGCAGCAACAGGAAACAACTCTACTGAAAACAATGATCTGACTTCCTAAGCACAAGAAACACCTGAAATATGGACAATCACATATATAAATATATATTATTCTTCTTAATTTGCCCAGCGTTTTTATACTTAAGCCTTTTTGCATTCGCCCAAATGCCCACAAAAACTTTGGCAAGTGCATAAAACAAAGCACTTGCAAAAAACAAAGCATTTTTTTTTTTTTAGGTTGCAACAAATCTTTTTATTTTGCAACAAATCTTTTTAAGTTGCAACAAGGTTGTTTTTTTTAAATCTTTTTTAATTAATAAAATAATAATTATAAAATTTTTTTTTTTGAATATCTTTTTTTTAAACTACATAAAACATTTTTTATTTATTATTTTTTTATTATTTATGTTTTAATTACTTTATCTAGAATTTAAATAAACCAATTTTTTGGTCTTTTTTTAAAATTTTTTTTATTTAGAATTTATTCAAAGCATTCTTTTTGCTGTTTTTATTTTAATTTAAATGACAAATAAAGATGATATATATGCGTTAGGGTAGGTCAGTTTCGGTATGTAAGTACTACTAAACATAAAAAGTTTAATCATAACTTCCTTGATTTTACTCACAAATTTTCTACCACAATTTTTGCCATGAGTTTCTCACGCATAAAACAATTTGCATGGCACATCTTAATATTTTAAATTGTTTTGAGTACTTTGAGAATAACCCTCTGAAAATAATGCACATATTTTAACTTTAACAAAGCTATAAATATCACGCTATCTACCCATAATATCACTTCTATGGCAACCTGACAATGTAAAATGTCTCTGCTTCCAAAAAATTCTCTCTCCTCCTTTATTTTTATTACTGATTATGATACCTAATTTTATCCTGATTAAGAATCAAATAAAAACATGTTAAAAAAATTATACAAAAAGCACAAGTGTTTGCCATCTTTTTAAAATGGCAATTATCTAAAATTTTAATGAAAGATTTTTTAATAAATTTTTAATACATTTTTAGGTATATGTTCAAAATTAATTCCTGATTTAGGATTATAGTCAACAACTGACATAATGATAGGGGTAAATAAATATACATACACTTAGATGTAAATTAAAGTACTTAATGAATTGTTAAACTCAATTTAATAAAATATTGTAATTTTTGCGTTTTTTGTGTATTCTTAAACTTTGACATTAAGTTAGGGTAGTTTTCTAAAAAATTTTAAGCATATACACTGTGGGCCGTATATTAGACATGGTGGACAAAATTATTTTGATCTTTTTTTTTTTTTTATTAAAACCCTTTATATGTCCAAAGAATCACTTTTTATTAAGATATATTTACTTTTATCATAAAATTTAGTTAAATAGTTGCTAATTCTAAAAATTATTTAACAAATTTTATTAAACTTTAAAAACGTGGATTTGCAATTTTTTAATTTTAAATTCTATAACTTGAAATCGTTGAACTGAATTTGAATTTTGTTGAACTGAATTTAACTTGAAATCATTGAACTGAATTGAATTTGAAATGATTGAACTGAATAACAAACTCTTCTGGTGGAATAAAATTAATAAAAAAATTGATGAAACAAACTTCAACAAAATAAAAATGCACACTTCAGAAAAAATGAAAATTTATCACTAGATTAATGATATTATATAATCTTGAGCCAGCCAATTTTCATTGCTTCTCTCAAAATGAGTATTATCATTGTTTGCAGCTGTCAATTTTTTACATTTTAATTTATAAAGTTTTTCACTCAGAACCCTCTAGTTTAACATCTGTAGCAACTAGAACAGTTAATTTCTATGAAAAGAATGGTATATCATGGTATTATACCATTTTAAGAGAATTCTTATACGACAAAATAAACTAGTTCCTAATGATTTACTATATCATTAGGAACTAGTTTATTTTGTCAAATAAGTCAATGAATCTTGCCAATTTTTATATTTTTACTAAACAAAAAAATAAAAAAACTGTTTGGTAAACAGTGCATTTTGTATTGAGTTAAATAACAAACAAAATAACATGTATTTTTGTTTACAAGAAATAAAAGTTGATTTCAAGCAAATAACATAAGTTACAAGTCGTTATTTTAAAATGTTAAAGAAACCCAAAAGGGGAAGTTAGGGGCAATGTATATAGTTCAAATAGGTTTGTATGCATATTACATTTACAAGTTCAAGTATTTACAATAGGTTCTCGTAGGTTCCCTAAATTAAGTGACACTTTTTGTACAAAATAAAAGTTATAAATGTTAAAAATTTACCTTGTTATTTTAAAGCCAGATTATAAGTATATTAAAGGCTAATCTTTACTTTACATTTTACATGAAACCGCAACTGATTTTTGTGGTTTTAAAAGACATTTATATACTAAAAACAATTTTCAAAACTTTAAATGAGAGTATTACAAATATGTTTTATTATATGGTTTTGTATATAAAAAATATTTATATTTTAGGTTTTGTCCACCACTTGGCCCACTGTGCTATGTTGTTATACCATTCTTAATCAGGATAAAGTTTTTTGTAATAATCAATTATAAAAATAGAGGGAGGGGGTGAGTGTGAGAAAGAATGTATCGCATAGCTCAACCTACAAAAACCTGCACCTACAAACTTGATCTACAAAATAAAACATCTACTAAAAAGTGGAAATAATTTTTATGTCCTACTGAGGCCTAAATTGTTTTCAACCTATTATAGTCCTTTTTTAATTCGATCGATTTATGACATTTTCATTTTCGAACGATTTTTTTCTCAACTGATTTTAGAGACTTTTATTTTTAACCGATTTGAGATAATTTGATATTCAAATGATTATAGGAGATATTTATTTCAACCTACTAGTCTGTATTTTTACCTTCCCTTTCCCTTCCCCTACCTTGTATTAAAGACTCGAAAGTAGTATATAAAAAAAGAGGTCAGATTAGCGAAATTGGTACAAGAGGAGGCGCAAACATCTTGATAAATGCCTTTTCATGGTGCTCTATGATAAGACCGTTAGGTCTCCTTGGAGAATAAATATTTCTGCCATTTACATTAAATTTTAGAAAATGATTTTTTTTTCTTTTTCTTCTAATTATTAAGGTGCTCTAACAAGGCCTAACAGTTTTGTTGTAGAGCTGCGCGGAAGAGCATTTAAGGAGAACTTTCAATAGGCCTTACATACCTAGACCAGGCATCAAACCTTCGACCTCTCAATTATAAGCCAGCGCTTCAGTCACTGTGCCACGGCTGATTAAATTCAGCTCTGATTCAAATCAACAGCAAATATATAAAATGCACACTAGAAAAAGCATAGTTATAAAGTCAATTGAAAAAATAGTAGGTCGAAAATACAGTAGGTTGAAATTTCAGTATGTTGCAGTAGATCAGTAGTATGTTGAAAGTGCAGTAAATCAAAATTGTCATATTCTATGAATATAGAAAATTCAAAATAAGGTCCAGTTATAGGCCGCCAGAATATAAATTAGTGCCTAAAAGTTTTATGAAATGAAACTTTTAGGCACTAATTTATATTCCTATAAATTATGAAATTTAAAAAATAATCATTTTGTTTATCCACTAGCATTAAGGCGGAAAAGTTTTAGTATTATCTATTTTCTAAATGAAATTTCTAAATTTATTTATAAATATCTATTTCTTTTTTAAGTATAGTAGCATATGTCAGGTATCCACAATTTTAAATTATTTCAATTGTTGAATTTTGAAATGTTTTTTAATAGTTATAAAAGTAACAATTGCGCTACTTGCGACAATTAAAATGACTTCAACAAATGTAATTTCCTTTACAATCCATTTTTATTACTGTTAATTGTTCACAACCACAACAATAAAAAAAATACATATTGAAGTTATTACATTCAAAAATGCCAGCAAAAAGAGCTGTAATTAAATACAGGAGAAACGGGAGTACTCTGAGTTTAATGCCTTTTGGCAATCATCAACCATTGTGTATAATTCCTAACGTAAAAACCGTTTAAAAAATACAAATTAAAATTACAGTGGAATGAGTTCTGACGTTACAAAAACAAAACAGAAAAAAAGATGCCTAAGATTTTAGTCCCTGGTGTCGAATAAGGAAAGTAAAAATTTCTTTGAATTCTAGCACTTGATGTTATTTCATATCTTTTATTAAGTAAATTTTCTTCTCTGTTTGATATTATATAAAATTTCTTGCGGAGACAAAGATTACAAACTTTCGATGCTTTCGATTGTAGGGCTTACATCATGTTATTACCTTCCATGATTCCTCCTATTATCTACGTGTTTTGTTTTTGGAGTGTCTGAACTCATTCCACCATAATTTTGATTTGTATTTTTTAAACGGTTTTTTTGTTAGAAATTTTACACAATGGGTGATGATTGCCAAAAGCATGAAACTCAGAGTTCCATTAAAAGTTGTTTTTATTCATTTTATATAAATAAATATTGCTCTATTATTTAATAGTATTGAGCACAAAATGCTCAAGAGTATTTGTATTATTAATATTATACCATAGTAATACTTTTTTTTATCTATCTATTTATATATATATATATATATATATATATATATATATATATATATATATATATATATATATATATATATATATATATATATATAGATAGATAGATAGATAGATAGATAGATATATAGATATATATATATAGATATATATATATATATATATATATATATATATATATATATATATATATATATATATATATATATATATATATATATATTGTATATGATATATATTTTTCATATTATTTTACCTTTTTATAGGTTAAAAAAAAAAAGAAAGGAAAGTCTAGTAAAGAAGAAAAAGTAAGTGAAACAAGAATGGTTTTATTTTTGTTTAATTTTTTGTTTTATATTTTTGAACTATTAATTTTTTTATTTGAGTAACTTTTATTTTAGAAAACCAAGAAGGTAGTCCATGAAAATGAAAATGAAAAAAAGAATGAAAAAGAAAAAAAAAACAGAGTTAAATCTGATGAAAATGAACAGGTCAAGAAAAACAGAGTAAAAAAAAAAAAAGGTGGTCACAATCAGCACTTATTTATGTTTTAACTTTTTGATCTAGTTTATTTGTTTTATCAAAATTTTAATTTACAAAAATATATTAGAAAAAGAAAATCATAAAGAAAGTTCAACAGAAAAGAAACAGTCTGAAGAGGATAGAAAGGCTACCTTACTAGCACAAGCATCTACTTATGCAAAAGAAGTCAAAAAAGAGGTTGCTATATTTTTAAGTAAAGCTTATAACTTTAGTGTTTATTATTTGTTTTGAGAAAAAAGTTTTAATGTTTTTTATTTTAAGTTTTTGGAAAAATTTACTGATAAAGTTTCAAAATTAATATATTGGTTATAATAATCCTATTTATAAAATAAACAGATTGATGACTAAATTTACTAATTCCAAATTGGTGACTAAGTTCACTTGACTAATTTTTAACTTTAATTTAAAATCTAATGGGCTAAAAAAGAAATTTTTTTCAATTTATATTTTAAATATATATATATATATATATATATATATATATATATATATATATATATATATATATATATATATATATATTTGAATAAAAAATAATTTCAACCTAAATGAAGTAAAACCTCTAATCTAAGGGTATAAAAAAGTACTAATGATAACATAAATACTTGCTTAAATGTAAATACAGATTTTTATGATTTTTAGGGTAGTGAAATGGATTTTTGGTTATTTCCTACAAAACTAGAGTCTGTAAGATACTTGCACAATAAAATATTTTCGTTTACACTTCTAAATTAGTGTATGCACACAGTGCCTCCAGAGGCCAGTTCACATTTTTACGGGGGCCATATTTTAAGGTCCCTTCAAGTTATTTTAGATAAAAAAGTGTTAACTTTGCATGTTATTTTTTCTTTTTAATTAAAATTTCTTTACAATACAGTTTTTTATAAACAGGATGTTGTGAATGAAACAAAGGAAACAGAAGAATCAAAAATACCAAAAGAAAAGAAAACGGTATTTTTTTTTTAACTTTTTAAAAAGTAAGTAACTTAAACAAATATCTAATAAATTTATTTGTAGCATGGTAATACTACTACTTTTGGAACACTTTATGTTACCTTATATATATATATATATATATATACACTTTATGTTATCTTATATATATATATATATATTTATATATATTTTATATTTATATATATATATATATATATATATATATATATATATATATATATATATATATATATATATATATATATATATATGTATATATATATATATATATATATATATATATATATATATATATATTTTTTTAACAACACTTTAAAATATGCTGTTAAAATTTTTATATTCATCCATTTCATGTTATTTTATTCATAGCTCCCCCAAGAGTTACAAATTTTTATGTAATATACCCTTTTTTTTTTATACCTCATAATGAGTGTTCTTTATAATATTTTTATAACTGACAATATAATCCAAGTGTTTACCAGGAGGATAATATTTTTATAACTGACAACATAATCCAAGTGTTTACCAGGAGGATAATATTTTTATAACTGACACCAAGTGTTTACCAGGAGGATTTTCAACCAAGTGACAAACAACATCAGCATAAAAAAAAAATCATCAAAAGAATCTTAATCAGCTATAAGGTTGTAGCGTGAATCTAATGTAGAAGAATCTGGTGAAGAAGTGGATCTACTTTCTGATGACACAAATATATACTCCAATTGTCACAAAAAGTCATCACTTTTTAATTGCATTAAACAGGCAGTCTATCGTGAATCTCTTTATTGTGACAGCTTGGAGCTTGCATTGGCTGGTGAAAACCAAACTGAATTTCAGTAGTTAACTAATTTATTTCAATATAATTTATATTCTTTTTCTCTTCTCAAATTATCATTCACTACTGACCTCTCATGGAAACTATATATCTTTGATGTGTTCCTTGATGCTAATTTGAAGTTAATGGTTTTGTTGTGCAGCAAGCATACAAAAAGAATATTGTTTTTATTAGAACTGTAAAAATTTATAAAGTGTGAAGCAAAGTTATTTATTTCATTTGATATAACTATTTTTGAACCAGGATTATCCATTTCATTAGTTTCATCATATTTGTATATGTCAGCAACACAATCAACAGCATGTTGCAATTCGTCCAAATAAAGATATCACAACATCTTTGCTATAAAATCTCCCAACCAAATTTTAAACAAAATAAATTGTTTTATTTAATTAAAGATTTGAACCAGTTGTCACCAGGATAGTTGTTATTGAACTATGAGTCATAGACTCCATATTGATTCAAGTTTTATCAATTTGGGTGATTTTTTTTTCCAGAATGTTTGCCATGAATAATTGTCAGAAATTAATAATTTTAAACTTGATTTCCAGGCTTCCAGTTAATGTTTTTGGAAACATGTGTCTCTCTTTAATTAATATGAAAAATACATTCATTTAAAACTCAATGCTCATCCAAAATCAATAGATAAATTTTTTTAGTTAATTATTAACTGTTCAAATTAAAATTAACTGAACAAATAAGACAGAGAAGTTAAGATTGAAAATCTTAACTTCTCTGTCTTATTTCAACTTTCTTAAATCAACTATATCAATATTCCTCTCAACAAAATGTCCACTCCATTACTCAAATAAAATTTGAACAACATAAGTTTCCAGATTTGCTTGTAAACGCATTTAGGTTTACATTGTTCTTAACTTTTGTTTTTAAACTCTGCTTGAAGTATAACAACCTTAATTGCATATGAACAAAATTTACCCTTTAAATACAAATCTTTAGTTGATGTATGTTTGATATCTTCAATAATGTAGCCGTAAACATCCCTCAGAACAATGTATGTTGTTTTATCAAGAAATATCTAATAGCAAATAAGCAAAGCAAATAAGCTTCTTTAAATAAGTTCCATTAATGAAGTGGGTTTCATTAATAAAGTGGGTTTTATTAATTAACGGGGTTTCATTAATGAAGTAAGTTTTGTTAATTAAAGGGTTTTCATTAAACAAGAGGGTTTCATTAATCAAGGGGGTTCCATTAATGAAGGGGTTTTATTAATGAATGGGGTTTCATTAATCAAGGGGGTTTCATTAATCAAGGGGGTTTTATTAAGCAAGGGGGTTTTATTAATCAAGGGGGTTTTATTAAGCAAGGGGGTTTTATTAATCAAGAGGTTTTATTAAGCAAGGGGGTTTTATTAATCAAGGGGGTTTTATTAAGCAAGGGGGTTTTATTAATCAAGGGGGTTCCATTAATGGGTCATGATAAAGGTAGCTAAAATCTATTTAAAGTGTTTATAGTTTCAGACTCGCATTATAAATTTCATTTAATTTAGATTTATTTTCAGTTACATTACATTTGTCAACTGAACTAAGAATATATCAACTGGCTAAAAATGAAATTAAAGTAGACATTTTAAAAATTAAAATTTACCATGCATCTGATATAAGGTATACATGCAGGAAATGTCACTGATGATTTCATACTAAAATATTTATTTGCACATAGTTAAAAGCGTATAGGTTTTTACAAAGTTATTATAACT